CGAGACATGTCAAAAGGGAACAGCAAAAATGGATAAACGCACCCCAAATACTGGCCACTGATATATGACTGACTGTTACAACAGGGCGGAAGAGAAAAAGACTTTGCAATGTGAAGATGGGCACAGCCTCGCAGAGTGATAAAAACTGCTGGGAGTCTGTGCCCTCTGCCCAGGCTGTGAAGCCCTCCCCACCTGTTGAAATAGATCTCTGCGGATGCTGGTTTTTTTTCCGGGGCTCCACTCGTTTACGGAGTGCTCTGTCTCACTCTGTCCTTATCACGCCACGGCGACATTGGGTCCCAGAACCAAAAGTTTAGGCAAGTGAAACTGGAAAGGAAGAAGACACTGAGTTATGTACGACCAGGCAAGTGCCATAAGAAGGCGAAAAGACACCCCAGAGTACGTTTCACTTCCTTTTTTTAAATTTAATTTAGCTGAGCATAAAAATGTGTGTCTTGTTACCGTTACATCTTGTGCAGAATATTTATAAACATGCTGGAGTAGATTTACTTAAATTATTTCACGGTGTGGAAACTTGTGGAAGACAACAGCTGATAAGTTCACTATCGAGTTAAACTACGTTCCACGACACCAGAGAGATTCCGATTGTGAGGCGAGCTTGAATTCAGAAGTCTGGGCCAAAGTTCATGTATGTTATCTAATGAGTGTTCCTGTGGTGATAGGCAAGGAAGGCTCACCCTCCCTGCTTATATATAGGAATAGTTAGATACACCCTCCCCTACTCTCTATCAGCACAACTTCACCTAACCCATCTCAGCCTAACCCAAAGTACAAAGATAAACATCCCTTCCTGTGCAGGTCCCCATCTTGGAAGGTCACAGTGTATGCCCATTTTCCATCCGTGAAGATTTAACAAGCTTGGTATTTAGTGAGAGAGGGAGTCATATTTATTCGGTTTATAGAAATGGAAGCTGTTTCATCTGCTTAAGTGTTTCAGTATTCCAGCGCAACACATACTTGTCCTTCATGACCAAGATCGGACACCCCAAATCAAACTGTTTAAACTCTAAGAAAATGATCTGCGTGAAAATAAATGAGAAAATATATTATCTGCCAATCAACCAGCAATAAAGCAAATTTAAAATGATCATGGCACGGGGACACACAGAATGCAGTAGCTGTTGCTTACAGTTAAAAAAAGTTCAACAACTTCACCATGTCAGATTACAACGAAACCAAGCCATATTAAAAACAACTCCATAAGTAGTGCTTATATCAAAATGTTTCATTTCCGAGTTGAATGTAGTCGCTGTAATTTGCCGCGTCTACAGAGCTCTGACATATCGATCAAACGCCCGCATACAGGCGGAAGGTGCTTATGTGGGGGGCTAATGTCCTAATAACACTTTCCTAATAAAGTCGAAAAACAGAGGTAAATACGAGCACAGATCCCCTTTAATAACGCGACAGTGGGTCCAGCTACACCACCGTGCCGTTTAGACTTCACTCTCAGTCACACTGACAGAGACGACATTAAGGGGCGATCAGCCAGACAGGCCGCCGCCGGGTTAAACCTGGACACCCCACAACGCTGACTACTCAGTCATCACGAAGGGACGGACCCCCGCCCAACAAAACACGAGACACGGCCCACACACCACAATACACCCGACACTGCCCCTAGTAACGGCCGGGTGGGCTGCCTGGTCAGTACCAATTCGTAGTTAGTGTGATTTTTAGGATACAGCGTTTCGCCGGGCAGGAAAACGGGCGTAAGGACCCCTGGAAGTGAGGCGGACACTCACCGTTCAACAGTCCCGCTGTCTCTCTCGGTAACGGCGACGCCGAGAGCCTGAGACAGCTGGGCGAGGAGTTTGAGGGGAAGAATGTGGGAGTGAGTGCCGGCCGACGGCCCGATATCCCTGCGGAGACGGTGAATCAGAGCCGGTCATTTAAAGTCAACCATGTCTGCAGACGAAAACGTTACACTAGCTAAGCTAGCTAGGCTAGCGACAGGAGCAAGCCCGCGCTGTAAAGCAGAATACGCGACAAGGTGCCCCTCTCAGCAAAACTCCGCAAACGCTGGATATCTTAATGGCGCCCGTATCGGCAAGCGCTGCGTCCCTTATTACTGTCGTTATTATCTTTATGAAATCTATACTGACCCCTTAGTGGCTCAAATGGCTACGAGAAAATGGCGGCGATTCCGCTTCCGCTCACGACGGCGGGGAGACCGCGCCCCCCGGCGCAAGACCACTTGGTGAATATTTATGAGGCGGGCGCGGCTTTTGTCCAATCAGAATGTACGGGCTGATTATATTTTAAAGTCCTCCATCAGTAACAGTATTACGTTTGATTATTTTATTATACTTCTGATTTTTACTGTATTTTATGTTTCGCAGTTATAAGGAAATTATAACTGTGCAAAGCAACTGAGAATAGAGGCTGGACAAAATCATGGAAGTAAACGCCTTTCTAACTAAATTACAATTTCAAATGCATCTACAGCGCACCTATATTAGATCGAATGCCAGTTAACAGTACATATAAAATAAGTCTGACTGCTATCATTGTGCTGTGTGAATTTCCAAAAGAGACTTTTGGCTACTAATCCAATTCAGAGGCCAAGTAATCGGTGTCTGGAGTGCGGGTTCATCGTCTCAAATGAAATTACATCATAAAGCTGATATACGGCTGTTATGTGATGTTGTAAGGACCACAAACTGTAGTCCCTGGGGAAATACGGTCTGATGAGTTGTCTTTGAGAAAATGTCCTATAGCTGAACAAGTTTTAATTAGGAGAACGCCAGATGATTTCTCTATCCCACAATGTCTGCTGGTTTGGCCAGCTATCTCAGGGGAGTCATTAAGTGCCATGATTGCTCTGCGTGGTCGTTTACCTGCCAAGGAATATCAGGTCATTTTACACCACCGGGTACACCCTATTGTGCACACAATGTTCCCTCGTGATTTTTTCATATTCCCAAGATGATAATGTCCTCAGACACAAAGCTAAACCAATTCCAGAGTGGTTTATGAACACTAGGATGAAGTGAAACTCCTTCCTGGCCTCGGGATGCACTATATTTAAACATAATACAACCTTGATGGGATGTTCAGGAGTGCAGAATGTGAAGTAGATTCCCACTGCCTTCCTCAGTTGAAGAACTGTTGGTCTTTAATTTTGTTGAAGAATGGTCCAATGGCCCACTATACAATTCAGGAATTGCAAAACAGCATTACAAGAAGATCTGAGTGATATGACTTCTGAAGGGAAATGCTTTTTATGTCATCAAATGTCATTGAAAGGTGTTATGTGCTTCTGCGGTTTTGCCCACCCCATAGGTATCTATCCATCAGATCAATTTAAAATACATTGCTTCCTAACTAGTTCTTACAGTACGTATAAGCTGAGCATCAAATGGTAATAAATTTCCCTTTGATAATTTGAGCGGTTTGTTTTCATCTACCTCATTAAAACTAAAGTGGACTACAGAAGCATGCATGAAATGGCGTTCAGCTACAACATTCAAGATATAAATAGTTTATATAAATACCTTTCTGTCTTCGTATGGTAATGGCATTATCACCGTGCGATGCACTGCAGTAGCTATTAACCTCCACCAAGAGGCAACCTGCATCTACAATTCATTTGTACTAATATTGTGTGTTTGTCGCACAGTCCGTTCTACAGGTGAACCATACTTATTTCAATAAATATTAGTCATATCATAGCTTTTTATGTCATTGATCTGTTTGCTTTTGAGGAGAAATGCATTATAAGAGATTTCAAACATTTGGAAATGATCTTCTTTGAGAAGCCCTCTGCTAACCATGTACGTTTCTGTTAAAAATAATTATAATATGATTTTAACTGAAAATGTAAAATGTATAATATAAAGACATTTGTAATTTTTCCCCACCCTTCCAACTCCATGGATACAGCTATTAGAGACCACAAGCACAAATCACCTGTCAGTAAGAGAACCTACAAACAGGCCCAAACCAGGGTAGTACTAAGGGGGGATATCCATAAGAACTAGCCAGAAGACTTTGACAGTTCAGGGGTCCCCTGGGAAATGACCATATGTCTACTGTTCTACTGAAGTTCTGTCCAGGTCTTCCGAATCACAGCAGGGCCTGTTGGATGGGAGCATCAGAAAAACAAAAGTAGCAACTCGTCTAAGTTTCCTGTTCTGGGAGTCCATTCAGTGGTACCAGTTGTCACAACACAAATAACACGGATACAAACACCCCTGTAGAGCAGCTGTGGTAACCCGATCCTCTGTGGTGGTGATAACAGCAAGGTTTGTTACATAAGCAACGGTAGCTAAATACATAGCAATAGTAACGTGGAAATCAGTCTGTAGGGAAAGTGTGGGGGTGGGGGTGGGGTGGGGTGGGGGGGCGATGGAATGGAGCAAAGCTGGATGGGGATAGATAGTTGGCAGAAACACAGAGAGTGAGAGGACTGCAGTAATAAGCTGTTTTGTGAGGCAACATTTCAGCTGTTAGTTTTGTCACATGGACATAAAGTACTGAGTGAGGAGAGGGCGCAGGGGAATTGGCGGCGGGGTAATTCATCGGGGAGGGAGACAGGGAGGTAGGGGGAAATCTGAGACAATTCTATCAGAAGTAGTAATTGGAGGTTTGGGTTGTTAGAGAATTGCAGCTCGTGGGTCCAAAATTCCTCCTACTAGGAATGGGGTCGTGCTGTGGTGGATTGTAACCAGCAAGTGGCACAGTGTGACTGGGAGGAGGGAGGGAGTCGAAAGGGGGGAATGGAGAGGTGCCGTGCAGTGTGCGTGCACAAGAAGAGGGAGACGAGTGCAGATATATGGGTTAATCTAGACAGATTGACTGACAGGTTGGACATTAGCAATGAAAGGTTGAGAAGAGAACATTGGGGGAGGGGGGGCATTTGAGATACTTTACAGTGGCGAGACAAGCATATTTTTAAGGAAAACCAGCAGGACAGTTTGAGGGGATAGAGAGAGGGGGGCAAGCGAGGGGGGGGGGGGGTAACTGAAGGGGGCAGGCAGCAGAGAGTATTAACCTATCCAGAACAGGAAGAGAGAGGACTTTCACGGGGGGTTATTTAGTCCTGCACCTGCACACGGAGGCTGGGGCAGTCTGAGATCGCGATAACAAAAGTCCTGAGTGGCTGAAATTCAAACACATTGATTTATTGGTGAAAAGCAAGATGATGAGATATGAAGAGAACTAAATAAGTAGCAAGGCAAGAACACAAATAAAAGGCTGAAAAGAGTGAGGTTCCACTTTGAAAGGTCAACTTTAACAGTAAGTGAATCATTTTTCAAAACATTGTATGGATATACAGTATATGTTAGTTTAGTACGAACACTGGTACAGAAATGTAATGAATGAATAACATAACATCCCTATACAGTTACAGTCCTAGGGTAATATATCATTTTGAAATGTTAAAATGTCTATCTGCAGGTTTGCCAGTAATTCTCAGAAGAGCACAAGGTGCCAGTTCCTGAGTGATCAGATTCTAACAAATTATTCAGTTACATCATATTCCTAGCAACTTCAGTACAGATAAAATGGGATCTCAGAACATTGATTTAAAGATTAAATTATCTGTCATTCAATTGTCCATGACCCTGACTTCAACTAACAAAGCTTCAGATGTTGTGGAAACATCTATCTATCTATCTATCTATCTATCTATCTATCTATCTATCTATCTATCTATCTATCTATCTATCATCTATCTATCTATCTATCTATCTATCTATCTATCTATCTATCTATCTATCTATCTATCTAATCTATCTCTGCCCAATCTAGCTTAGTATTTTGTAGGTTAACAGGAAATATATTTGTCTGCCTAATCTAGTTCAGTAGTTTTGCATGTTAACAGGAAAGGCATATCTACAGAACACCCATTGGTCTAATTTCCACACAAAAACTTCCCTTTCAGTAAACTTGCATCTCCTTAAAATATACTTCTAGAAATTATGACCATATTCATACATAGGTTTTTTTTTTACACTGTAAGGTTCACCGTAAACTAATTCCACATTAACTGTGGCTTATGCGAGTGTTACACGGACAAATCCCCAGCATCATATTAGCAAGTGCTAACCTAAAAGAATGCTCGCGGTAAACCCCAGCTCTCCCTTCCAGATGGCTACACAAAAGCTGGACGAGCTCTGTTATTTGACAGCACAGTCATTAACATCACTTAAGACCTCTGACCACTTCCGAGTCATCAAGCTCCTGGGTGAAGGCTCATACGGCAAGGTCATGCTGGCAGTTCACAGGAAGAAAGGTCAGTGAGGCATTTCTCTGGAGCTCACCCGGGGTTTTCACTGGGGCTGCCTCCTACAACGTTCCATGGCCTTGTCTTTCAGGAACTCCCATGGCCCTGAAATTCTTTCCCCGTGAATCTACCTCCCTCCTCTCCTTCCTCCGCGAGTACAACCTCTCCCTCTCCTTCTGCTCGCATCCCTCTCTCTCACGGGCTCTGGGCATCTTCTTTTCCACTCCCTCCCACTACGTCTTTGCCCAGCAGCCCGGACTCTACGGAGACCTGTTTGACGTCATCGTCCCAGAGGTACATGTCTGCGAAATTGAGTTTCAGAGAAATACGCCCTTTCCCACACAAAGTTAGGACGAGCACGCCAATGGCTGATGGAGTGGTAGTAAATGCTCACAGTGGGTGGACTTTGCTGTTTTAATCAGCTGCACTTCTCAATGCCCACTGTAAATTCTATGTCAAACATATGCCAGCATCTCAGACTGCCAAGGTTTAAGTAAATGATCAACTATGAGATGCATATTGACCAAGTCTATCACAGCTGCATGCTGGGACTCGTAGTCGGTGGGTAAAGCATTCCTGTGTCTATCTCCCTTCAGGTGGGTATGGAGGAGGATTGTGTGCAGAGTGTGGTATCTCAGCTAAGTGGGGCGATCTCCCACCTTCACTCCCTGGGTTTCGTCCACCGGGACATCAAGCCTGAGAACATCTTCCTGTGCGACCGAGGGGGCCGCTGGGTCAAACTGGGCGACTTTGGGCTGACCCGAGCTCGGGGAACACAGGTGCGGGCGGTGTGGTACGAGTCCCCGTATTGTGTTCCAGAGGTGGAGGTGGCAAAGCAGAGAGAGGCTTTGCCGGGAGACAAAGGCAAAGAGGAAGGAGAGCAATCGAAGGAGGTCGTGTGGATCTCTGTAGAGCCCAGTATAGACAGCTGGGCTCTGGGGATTGTAATTTATTGCATGCTAACAGGCTGCTTTCCCTGGAATGAAACTACAATGGGCGACCCGTCATATAGGAAGTATAAGGAATGGTTTGTCATGGAGACGGACAGGGAAGCTAAACATGGCTGCAGCGGTCGAACTGAGAGGAAAGAGATTGGTATGCGGGGGGATGCGGAGAGGTCAAAGCAGAAAGGCAGAGGCCAGTCCCAAGGTCCAAGGCCTCCCCCCGCTCAGTTCTCTGCCTGCTGTCCGCTGGCCCTCACCATGTTCCAGAAGCTGCTGAACCTGGACCCAGATCAGCGATCGGAGCCGGAGGAGGTGCTTGGCTACCTGGGAATGCCTTGGCTGCTTGAGACAGAGAAGCGGGAGAAGAGACAGGGTCAGGAGGCAGAGGAGGAAGCAAGGAAGATCCGAGAGGCGGGACATGTGGGGGAGAAGAAGGAGCGGGAGGGAAGAGGAGAGAGATAGAGCAGGCCACAAAATATATACAGTAGACACAAAATAATCATATACGACACATACAAATATTGAAATTAGAAATACATTTTAAATAATATAAATATATAGCCATCCATCCATCTTCTAAGTGCTTATCCTGGTCAGAATTGCGGGATTTCATATATAATATTATACATGAGTAAAATCAGGTAGAAATTGACTAAGAAATATAAAAGGCAGAGAATGTTGTAAAAGACAGAAGAATACTGTAATATACAAATAGTCGTAATGATATTTAATTGTTTTATTGGTATAAAGTTTTTAGTTTACATGGCTGGAAATATTCCTTACAAATGTTTGTGTTATATGTAGAATAGGTCTGCATGTGACGTTTGCCCTGTCATGTACTAAGAGCGATGTTGGATTAATTAAATGTTGTTTAGATACTTTCCACCATCATGATTTGTTGTACAATAAACTACAATAACACTTTCTTTGTGTATCTTGAGTTTATTAAAAAAAAAAAGCTGAACTTCAGGTGTCACTGTGGAGCTCCATGGTACAATCCAGGTAATGAAAGAAAACTTCTCAAATGTCAAAGCAGAGCTGGGCAGGGCGAGCCGGAGTGCAAAAGGGTGCCGTGTCCCACCCCAAGCCCCCCTGGGCTGCACCATTGTGAGGCCCATATTCACCTCTGCCGGCCAGCACTCCAGATGGCTCCGAAAATAGCCCTGGGCTTTCTATTTCCACTGGCCGGCACATCATCACCTCCGGCTTCATCCATCGCAGCCTCACACTCAGCACAACGTGGACATGCTCTCCAGTGCAGGCCAACATCAACACCTTCACTGTTCCTCACCCTGTACCCCGTCAAATCTCTGGTTACACTTTATTTTACTTTTCTCTATGGCCGGTCGAAAGTTCAGGAACCTTCTTTAGCAAACTTTTCTTTGCTTTTATAAATTGTTTGACAGAACGGGCAGATGGGGGAGGGGGGGAACAGAATGGTCAGAGAGAGTAGTGTGCATCTTTTGCGTGTGTCTGGGAGACAGAGCTGGGTGGGGGTGTGAGGAGCACGCGGGATGAGTTTTCTGATAAATTTGAACAGATGGGGCGATACAACCCAGTGCAGCCATAATTTTGGCAAGAAATGAGTGCGGGACCAAACGTGTGATGGAGACCCAGACAAGCAGGCAGACCCCGGCTGCTGAGAGACTTGAAGAAAGATCGATGACAGAGATTTATAGTGGGAAATGACTCATCGTCTGAAAAAAACCTGCACGTTTTACTCAACTATCCTGGCTAATTATTCCCAGGACTTAAAAACTGACAGTTTAATTACCTTCGTATAAATTGAAGGGAGTGTACTGGCATGGTTATATGTCTCAAATGGTCGCTCACTGCAAAAACTCATGGCTGACATTTCATTGGATATGATGTTCGCATTTGATTTGTGTGTATGTGCGAGTGTGTGCATGCATTTTTGTAATTATTACCTTGTGGGGACCAGATTTCTCCACAACGTGATACAAACCTGTAACATTTATTGCCTTGTGGGAACTTTTTTTTTTTTGGTCCCTACAAGGATAACCTCAATTTTATGAAAATATGTGACTAAAAAACTAAAATTTTAAATACCAAAAGTCTTATATTTTGTTTGGTTATTAATGCCAATTAAGCTTAGGGCTGGGTAGGGGTTAAGGCTGTCATTGCTGAGATTAGGAGATAGACATGAATTAACAGTCCCCACAAAGATATGAATACATGAATTGCATGTGTGTGTGTGTGTGTGTGTGTGTGTGAGCGGGTTTACCTATCCTTATGGGGACATAATGTCCCCAAAACTTGATAAATATCCATTTTTTTTCCCTTATGGGGACCGGTTTCCTGGTCCCCATAAGGGAAAACTCTATTTTATAAAAATCGGTGACTGCTATGAAAAAACTAAAAATGCAAAAAATCTTGTATTTTGTTAGGTTACTTATGGTTATGGTTAGGGCAGGGTAGGGGTTAAGGTTGTCATAGTTAGCGTTAGCATTTTTCCCATTGAAATGAATGAGCGGTCCCCATAAGGATATGTTTACCCTACGTGTGTGTGTGTGTGTGTGTGTGAGGGAGACGAGGCCAGACCAAGCGGGAACATGCTTTGGAAACACGAACGTGCTTTCAACATACCAGCAGAGAGACAGGATTGAATTGGACTGTGAAACGAAGGTGTTAGAGGTGCAAGGGGCACAGGGGGTCGGGGGGGGGGGCGGCGATGAGCAGCACACTTCCAATAAACAAGTCTGGATACTACCTAGTGTTTATGGGCTCTGATTCTGCCCACACTGCCTCCTCTTTCCACCTGTGCTTCTCCGTTACACCGTGGGCACATCACGTCGACTGAAGCCTAACCATGGGCACAGGACATTCCACCTCCCTCTCATCTTCTCACAGCTCCCCCGGCAGCCAATCCATCATCGAATTTAGCTGCGCTGCAACGGCCGCCCTGTGCCAGAACACACTCTTGATGAGTTTGCGAGCCCTGACCGGGTCAGTGCCTGAGAGATGCTGGTTTGTCAGTATCCCTGGCACGTTTCTGTGGACACAGATACTGGTCTAATTCTCAAGATGGTCCAAGTCCTTCAGACTATTTTTACTCTTTTGGCCACCACATGGAGCTTCTAACAGACAGCAAGGGATTAAAAGCATTTTTGGACCAGCGGGCCATACCAGCTAAAATATGCAACACCGATGTACACATAAAGTACTTGCACAAATATTCAGCAATACATACAGATCAATATAACAATTATGTATAATGGATTGATTTAATAAAACAGTATAAGTACATGGAGAGAAAAAAATATATAGAATGTAATGTGATACAATGGTACCGCCTAGTGGTAGACATAACATACTACATTGATTCTTCCATTTTCAATGTCTCACTAATGTGCACCAGATTCTCCTCAAAGTTCTTCCCCCTCACTAAAAGGAAAATGTGGGTAATGCAGGGCGAGAAATGGGAAAAATGCCTCCTGAGGCATTGTATACAAGTCAAATAAACATCCACTCTAAAAAATATTTAGGGGATGTCCCACATTGAAGTGTTTGTTACAATCAAGCCAGTCTGAAGTAAACAACAGGCAGCCAAATATCATCACACAATGCTGTTATGGTTCTAGTGTTGTGTTTCTTAACAAAGATAAGGATCGGGGCTGGCACACAGCAAGGATGGGAAGTCAGTTCATCATATGGCACATAAATGCATGTTTACCCTTGAGAGGCTGTTTACGGATACTAATTATCTCCATTGCATGTCGGTGGACTGCAGAAGGAAAGCAGAGTGCCTGGAGGAAACCGATGTGGCAATGGAAGAACCTGGAAATTCCACACACAGAGAAGAGAACATACTGCCACACACACAGGGGAGAACATACTGCCACACACAAGGGAGAACGTACTGCCACACACAGAGGAGAACATACTGAACACACAGAGAGGAGAACGTACTGCCACACATACACAGGGGAGAACATACTGCCACACACAGGGGAGAACGTACTGCCACACACAGAGGAGAACATACTGCCACACACAGAGGAGAATATACTGCCACACACAGAGAGGAGAACGTACTGCCACACACAGAGAGGAGAACATACTGCCACACATACAAGGGAGAACATACCGCCACACACAGAGGAGAACATACTGCCACACACACACAGGAGAACATACCGCCACACACACAGGGGAGAACATACTGCCACACACAGAGGATAACATACTGCTACACACACAGAGGAGAACATACTGCCACACACACAGAGGAGAATGTACTGCCCCACACACACAGGAGAACGTACTGTCAGACACACAGGAGAACATACTGCCACACACACAAAGGAGAACGTACTGCCACACACACACAGGAGAACGTACTGCCACACACAGAGAGGAGAATGTACTGACACACAGAGAGGAGAACGTACTGCCATACACACACACACAGGAGAATGTACTGCCACACACACAGAAGAGAACGTACTGCCACACTCACAGAGGAGAACGTACTGCCACACACATACAGGAGAACATACTGCCACACTCACAGAGGAGAACGTACTGCCACACACATACAGGAGAACATACTGCCACACTCACAGAGGAGAACGTACTGCCACACACACAGGAGAACATACCGCCACATACCCACAGGAGAACATGCTGCCACACACACAGAGGAGAACGTACTGCCACACACACAGAGGAGAATGTACTGCCACACACAGAGTCGGGTGTATTATTATATTTTGACGGTAAATTTCTGTTGTTCTTAATATCTTGAATAATTAAAAACATCAAATTCACAAAAACAGAGGTAAATTATTAATGCTTTGTTAACCCTGTTACCTCACACTTCAGGGATTGGGGTTCGAGACTCCACCCCGGCTCTGGTTTGTGTTCTTCTCCCTGTGAGTTTTCTTCCCATAGTCACCTAGTAGCTCTCAGGCGTGAGTGGTGCGTGTGCTCTGTGTGGGTTGGCACTGTCCTAACTTATTCACTGCCTTGCACCCGCAGCTTCTAGGAAAGGCTACCTGACCCCTACAACCCTGCCTAAGATAAGCAGGTACAAAAGACAAATGGAAGTTGTGTCACAAGGGATTTTACATGACACAGCTATGATGAGATTTGCTGCCTCTTATTCCAGTCATTCATTGAAGTGCTTTTGTATTACATATAAAACACAGGTTATCAGAGGTGGATAGTTCAGGTCCAGAAAGTAAAAATCCAAACCAAGATTTTGTTTCAGCTGACCAGTTGAGTATAAAGAGTTAGTCAGAGTACTCAACTGGTTGGTTGAAACAAAGTTTTGGTCTAGATTTTTACTTTCTGGACCTGTACTATCCACCTCTACAGGTGGCACAGATATTACAAAGTATCAAATTCATGTCATTTGCATTCTGATGTCACTGAATGTGGAGGAGTTGGGGGATCTCAGCCCACACCTGCCAGCTTGCCGCTTCATTTGGTCTCCATCTGTGTGTCTGACATTGTTTTATAGGGCTTCTTCTTGTACTAACACAAAGAAGCCCTTATTATGTGATTACAAGCACGGGCCTTAGATCTGCTAACTGGGAGGGGTTTTACTGAAATTGGGTGGATGAATGATTTTATGGAGGCTCACCCTTTTCTTCACTTAAATACCCCCTATAGGTTCCTTACATCCTACATCAGCGCTTTCAGCAGACGACCAGAAAAGGGATCTCTGTGAGGCTGTGCCATGGGGAATTTAAAAAAAAAAAGCCACTTCATTCAGCCACCAAGGGAAGGCCAGTCAGTCAGCGTGTGACCCATTTATCTACTCGAAGCTGTTGCAGTGACGGAAATGCTGCTGGTGGGGGGTGTCTATCTATATCTAAGGAGGAGAAGCTTTAGGGTTCTGGGGTGGCCAACAGAGCTGAATAGTTGGAGGTTACATTATGTTTAGCCTAATGCAGTGTTGGAGGGATTTCAGGATTTCTTAAGGTGGTGGCATTAGAGCAGAGGGGCCAATATTATCATTAACCAATGATGTTTCAGCTGGCGAGTGACAGGAGAGAGGAGACTCTGAGGACCAATCAGCTTTCGGCTTGGGCCAGTGCCCCTGTGGCTCCAGCCTTGTATTCAACTATAAGCAGTGTTGAAGAGAAGAGTAGCAAAGACAGGCCTGACAGAGCAATTAAGGGGGCAGTGTGTGGCTCATCGGGCTAAGCCTGTGATCGGAAGGTTGCCGGTTCAAGCCCAGTCCCAGTACATCTGTGGGTCCTTGAGCAAGGTCCTTCACCCTCAGTTCCCTGGGCAACAAGTGGCTGCCTTTTGCAGACAGCTTGCTCTCACCTACAGAGAGCAAGACAATGGAGGCATAATCAGAATTTCCCCACAGGGATCAATAAAAGCATCAACTGTAAATACACTGGCTCTGTGCATAACCTCAGCACTAGCATACCATCTGATTCACATCTTTTCCCAACAGTCTTTTGTGTCATAGTGCAGTGTGGTTTGAGGTACAGTAGTCTGACATGATAATGCATTTTCAGGATCTACCTCTAATAAAGAGGCTGTTTTTCACCGGTTTTGCACTTTTTTTTCTGTTCATCATCCAGTCAGCTGCTGCTCTGGGACCAGTTTGGTCGAAAGCATCATCGGAACAATGTAGCCCATTGGCAACGGTGTGGGGAACACAAACTTAAAATGCATCTAATATAAAGCACAGTCTAATGTTGCTAGAAAAAGTAATCTGTCCATTACATAGTGGCAGCTGGAACATGCCCCACTGGAATGTAATGGGTTTTTCCTAACATGGGAGTTACATATAAGATTTGGATGGAAATAATCCATCTGTCTTCCGTACAGAGTGGTGGCGGGTGCCGGTCCCACGAGGCATCACCGAGGACATGGGATCGGATGTGAGTCCAACACAGGACACACATAATCACACATGTTTTTGGACTGCATGGACATAATCCCTAGGCTAATATGTTATAACTTTAGAATAATCCTGGAGGAATAGGAAATATGGGCCAGAAGCAAGACAGGATGTTTTTTCTCCAGTCATTATTAATGTACTTCCTTGTAACACTGGGCCAGCTCTCGTTTGGCAGAACCAACTGTCTCTGCTGTGAGGCTGCTTCATGAGAATTCAAAACCCCAGACATCTGTCTGGTTGTTCATATCCTGTGAAAAGTCCTTTTTGGCATCTAGATCTTTGTGGTTGTTGTAGTTTTTGATTTTCAGGTTACCAGGGGTCAACCCACAAAGAAAATCAATCAGGCTGAGCAGTGAAACCTGGTGGATGACGGCTCAGCTGGCTGTTTTTCTCAGAATTAAAGAACAAAAATATCATGGATGGATCCAATTAGGGAGAGGGGGGGGCAAGCGATGATGAAGGGAGGAGGATGACAGGGGTGGAGGAGGAGTGGGGAAGAAAGAGTGAGACAATCCATAGAACAAAAGGCATTTCGGAGGACGGGAAAGTTGTGAGTATCCTGCTCTGTTTTTCCCCCCAAATATACAATGAATGAGAAAATAACTTTGGGTGGCATGCAAAGTGGTGTGTACATGACTGCAAGGTGAACAAAAGGAATATGCATGTACATCTAGCAGGAATTAATCTGAGTCGATAAGAAAATGTCCGTCAGAGGTTGGCAGGTCTTCAGAAAAAGTCTGTGATAAAATGCGGCGGGCAGGATATGCGCCTGTGCTGTATATGAGAGAGTGAAATGAGAGAAATGGAACCACTAGGGCATGTGCAAACTATCAGAGCACATATTCAACTGTAATACTTAAACACACATATATACTTACACAGAAAGTCATATATAGCTATCTCTAACTTATTTCGGTATATCTAGGGGTGACTGGTCACTGTTGGTGCATTTACCGTCGGAAATGATAGAAACAAGAGGTGTGGGTGGGTATAGAGAGCATGAAAAACACATTCTTTCGAGTGAACTCATGTCTTGGACTCAAACTAAGAGTGACACATCACTGCTGGAGCGAAGAGAGAGGGAGGCGGGGATAAGGGCAGAGTACAGCCCGGTGCCTGCAGTGTGAAGAAAGGGTTCTCAGACACGGCTCGGCAGAAAGGCATCGATTGCACAAAATCGCTCAGCTTAATTAGAACCTCAAGGCAGAACACAATAAATCTGAGAGGTTCTGGGCAGAGTTTGATTCATGGGGGGCAGGATGACTAGAGAAGGGGTGAGCTATCAGTGTAAAGGCTTTGGGAAGGAGGTGTTCTGCTATTAGAAACTGTATTTGAAGGGGAAAATGAGGAGACAGAACGCTATGGGTAAAAAGCTAATATCACCTCCCATTGCTGCTTTGTGTTCAGCTCATGACATATAACACTGGCTGCCAGAGTCCAAAAGATGGGCAGACTTCCAGTGGCAGTGCTTCTCTGCAGTTTCCAAGGTAACATTTGGAGCAGAAACAAGTGTTTAACCATCCACTAAATGATTTCTCCTTGTAGGGAACATTCTCAGATTGCCTTGGGATGTACATGTCTATTATACACCTTTATTATATAGTTATAAATGATTATACAGCCATCAATGTTAATATATATATTTTTTGATTCACAGTAATTGTTGCTGTGGTTTCCGATCAACAAGCAGGTAATATTACTGTGCAAACTAATTAAGGTCTTGTAAAAAATATGCAATGAGTCAAGCTATTATGATAACTGCTAGATTTGCTGTTAATTAACTCGGCATTCCTGTTCCATGTAAGTAACCCTGCAGATTGACAGAGGAGATGGTGATCTTCATGCGATCTCTGAATCCCCTCAAGGTATTTTTATATCTTGTCTCACTCTGTTTACGCCCAGCGACCCAGGATGCGCTGAGAAACATCTCGTGTCGACACCATTAAGCCATCTACATCAATGAGACGTGTGGTCCTTCAGAGTTAACTGCGGTCAAACCCTTCTCCCAGCAAACATACACATCAGCTTGTAATAGTTAAGCGCAGATGTCAGATTAAGAGAAGACAGATTATTGGGAAATTTGGGACACTGTCCCTTGGTAATTTCCATCTCTTTCCAGACTGCAGGGAAGAGACATACCCCTGCACCAGGATGTACTCTGTCCAGCAACCCATAAAGAGGTGTATTCATTCCCTCTGTCTTTACAGGTAATCCCTCGCCTAAGGTTCATGTTGCATCACCAGTTTTTCACAGTATCGCTGCTCGCTCTTTTCGTCAGCCATGTTTCAACACGCTGGACCGTTAATCTCACGCCCTCTCTCTTTTCATTTCAGTATCCCCCGAGTCTACTTGATCAACAAGGAGATTTGTGTAAGGACCGTCTGTCAACAGGAGGAAATCCGTAAAGGTTAGTGCGGCCAACTATGAAAACGACTAAAACTCAGTGCCTGCGATTGGAAGGTTGGCATTGAAATCTCATGGCAGGCAAAACCATTTCACCGTTGAGCCCTTGAGCAAGGCCCTTAACCCCAAATCGTCCAGGGACTGGTTGATCCTGCTCTTTGATCTTCACTTGTATGTCACTTTGGACAAACACAAACACTGCAAATTAAGTTCAATATGAACTGCTTGGCTACTTTTGCGTTGCAAATTCTTTTATCCAAAGTCAGCCTTTCATATGGGACCTTTGCATGCCTACCAGGAGATTTACTGGCTGTACATGACAGCTCTGTTAATGTTTGTAAGATGCCACTACCATCCATCACTACATATCTCTTGCCGCAAACCCCCCCAGCGGACCTGTGCAGAGAGAGATCCGGTTGGCCAAAGCGAATGCAGAGGTCAGTGCAGAAACGCTGCCGCCGTGGCAACCCCAAAACCTGGGAAAACAGAACCTGAAGGAGGGCAGAAGAGTCAACAGTAAGAAAATAAAGAAAATAATGAGTGAGACCTTTCTGTATCCTAATAAACCAACTGTGTTTTGGGGGGAAATCACTTAACCCTGTTCCTCATAATTAATATGTACTTCTTTAGTTCTGTGACAGTCTATGTTATGTATATCATTTTCTGTAATTCATAACATTTGAACTAAATACTACAATTCAAAATTTCTGAAATACGTTTGGTTGGTGCTTAATATAGGGGCATTAAGAGAATATGTTACATGCCAATTTTCCAGAACTTTTCTGGAACAAACCGTGATACTTAGAGTTTACACCCATTTAACAAATGGTTGTATTTGTGATGGAAACAAAGTCGCTGCTTCCTAATGAAGAGACTGTTACTGTACCTGTTAGCACATTATTTAACTAAAAAAAAAAACTTGCACAAGCCCCACATCCTTCAAGACTGCAAAGAAAAAAGGTCATTCCTGAAAGTGTAGGCTGATGCCGACTCCACGCTGGGGGATTCACATGAATCGTTTAATTATCAAGGACAGGAGTCTCTGCTTTGCTTCAAATAGCAGATTGGAATGTTGTTAAAACTGAAGGTGTAGGAATGCTGATGTTGTTAAAGACTAGCAAGCAGTGAAACTAAACTATGCACACTGTATAACTGAATTAACATATGGAACTATACATTAAAACACTTAACCATCCCTTCATGTAGCGATACAACCTGTTTCTACTATTAATCTCTCCAATCAAGGTCTTTCTCCTCATACTCAGCATATAACCTGAAAAGCAAATATAAATCAAAATGTAAACACCCACAGATTTACAGTGATATTAATAAATATGCTTACAAGACATGCTTCGATTTACCGTTTGTGTGTCTTCGTTGTTCTTAGGGGGAGCCTGGGGTCTGAATGTACCATTATCACCTGCATTTGTGTTTTGATTTCAGTCGATATATAATTGACGCACCACCAGACAAATATCTCCCAAATTCATTTTTAATGACCGGTTCGGCCGTTCTTATTCGGTACAGCATATATACACACGTCAAGTAATTTAAACGAAGAGACTAAAGACAGAGACAAATGGCATAATGTGCATACAAGTCAACATTAGCTGGACCGAATACATCAAATCACAGCAAATTCTGCAGCAGAGAGTCAGGCCGTCATACTGTTCTCCTTCACCGGATGTGCGAATACACAAGATAATGCATGTTTCATAGCATTTACAGGATTTACAGGTCAATAAATACTACACATTAACAAATAAATATCATCACAGGAAATAAGCCCTTCCTGTAGCATTACCAGTAAGGACAAAAAAAAAATCTGAAATATGTACCTGTATTAGTTGAACGACACTTTGTTGGGACATTGGATAAACACAGACATTTTAAAGTTTAAATACGCTGATTAACTTAATTTTAATACTCCTTAAAGAAGCTAGTTTCCTTAGGATCCTACTTAATGACTAACCACGCAAGTTGTACAGCTTGGGTCTACAGGAGACCATGAGAGGCATATTCATACTCAAAACTGCTATCGACAGCAATCAGAACCTCAGCCGTATTCATTGGAATAGCCACTCCCACCAGTATATTAATACTTAGCATCCCCCTGAATCCATCGCAAAAGCATCATCTTCACTACTAGACATGGTCCCTTCGATGCGTGTTTAGGTTGGTGTTCATCCACACGATTTCAGACTCAAGTACTTGACTCAACAATTTCGCACCAATAAGTCATAAAGGTGTATGGAAGCCAGAACTCATAGGGAACTCATGTTGCTTTGATGACATAAACAACCATTATCAGTCCTAAAAACACATCTACACGTAAAATATCATCTATATATTTAACTCAGCTGCTCTTGCGCTTGTCTGTTTATCTTATGTTCCTCTTTATAAATATAGTGTCACAGTTATATGCTTTATTAATTATATTTCTTATATACCTTTAAGCCCGGGAACTGGGATAGGGTGACTTAACTATTTCCATTATGTTTCAGTATATTTGAGATTTTTCTCCCGGCAATAAATATGACTGAAAGTAAGACAGGTATCAGACGCAGGTTTTCCTTAAGTTAAGGACAGACGTGAGAGGGACGGTGGCTGGAGACAGACTTCCCACAGCTCTGCGAGACACGCAAAAGTGGCAAAGACTCAGAACTGAACCCAGCTTGTGGAGGAAGACTGTTGTGCTGGTGGCTGTGAGCTGCAAGAAATGGAATGAAAGCAAACACTTTGGTACATTATTTATGAACTAAAGAAGCTTTGCATTCATAGGGGGCTTGCATCATGCAGAGTCATTTATTGACTAGTTTGTCCCACCCACCAAAGTTTACTTTCCATTGTTTAGCAGCTGTAACTGACAGTTTTACACCAACTACGGTCGTCTTACTCAGCTTACTACATTTTAAACTTACAACATATAGAAAACAAAGGCATGATTACATACTTATAATGGAGAAAAAGAAAGAAAGATAAATGGAATTTAAAAGATTATAGCACCATGCAGCTCCATGACAGACAGTCACCAGAAAACACAGACCATTAAGTTACCTTGCCGGAGTGGAGAAATCACCCCAAAGGTCAGCACTGGGATTGGACTGCACCACAGAATTGGAGTTACTACTGTCCAGCTCCAACAGGCAAGCTATAACAGAAACACAAAAGCATGCATATCCATCAAACACCATCATACATGTAAACAGATGAGACGTTAGAAGCGGCGAGTAAAAAGAGGAGAATATAAAAAAGAAAAGAAACGAATGAAATAGGGAATTCTAATTTCATACTGGTGTTTGCGCCTCCTGTGAATGATTCCATATTGTGATTGGAGGAAACAGATGAAGGGGGTGGAGCTATCTTTCCTCCAGGAGGAGGGGGGAGGAGCCCAAAGCCACCTTGTCCCTGGGAACGAGGTTTCTCCTTTTTCCTAGTTTGCTACAAGAGAGAAATACAAGAACCAAACAAATTTGATTTACCTGAAATATATTGCTTAGTTATAAATAAGTCTGCCCATAATTCTATTATGCCATGCTGATTTTGTAAATAGCAATTCAAACAAGAAAAAGGTACTTGCAAAAATTTGTATGAAGCAGAAGAGCGTTTTACCCCAATATTAAGAGTAATGGTCTGGCCCTCTTTAAACCCCAAGTCCAGCTTTGGTGCAGTATCAGGGGCTTGTGATTGTTTTGCAATTTCATTGTCTTGCTTGACCCACCTATAAGAAAGGAAGCAAACACATGAACACCAGGGAACAAAAGCAACTGGAATGGAGTTTATCTGATCATCAGAGGCGGCTGCTGCAGGTCATAGGGGATCCGCAGGTCGTCTCTTTGGAAATTCAGCAGCACAACTAAACCAAATCAGGTTCCTGCTCAACTATGGGTCCACAGCCAACATTACTTTCATCCAGACACTGAGATACACAATTAAGCAATTTCCTTCGGGATAATAAAAGTTTTTGAATTCTGATACTGAGAGTCTGTGACCACACTCTCCCTTTACGGGACACCACAGAAGGTGAGGGGACATACTTGAAATGGTCCTGCAGAGCTACGTTGAAATCGAAAGAGTCCCCTCTGTCCCCAAAGCCAACTCCAATAAACGCACTTCGGCCTGAGGAGGAAGAAGAGGGAGATTAAATGGAGTCCCACCATCTTTCACTGAGAACATAAAAAGCAAAATTTGTCATTGAGAGCTTAGATATTTGCTTGACATGCGTTTATCATTTCTGTTAATGACATATGGAACTTCTTAGGTGGTATTTGACATTTTTGAATTGTCACTTGGGATTCTACTTGTTTAACAGTAGAAGGATTCCATTTGATACATTTCATATTATAACAAGGCTGGTATCAAAAATAAAGCATGAATGACATTACTTTTTAAACATTTTATGCGGTTACATTTGAATCAAAATGAAATATTATAACAGATCCTAAACAACTGAAACATGAGAATATGAATGTCTACTTTACAGCATGACCATGGTTAGATAAATCTCAAGTAGTATACAACGCAGTGCAATACAAATAAGCTATTTCAGACACAGCTAGTTAAGTTAGTTCACAATATACACACCATTATCATCCTGTATACGAATTACAAAATAGCGACTGGAATCGCTCACTGCTTCCACTGAGATGCCTGGATATTCTTCTACTGGTGCCTGAGCAAACAGCTCCCCTATAGGACAGGAGGGGAAATACAGTCAATGTATATCAAACATCATGTCGTTCAGTGCATGATAGCAACGCTTAAAAATACTTCGCCACTTTATACCAACTAACACCCACGTAATACTGTCATTATTATTTCTCATGCTTCCTACATTTATCAGTTTTATCTGTGGATAGCCTTCAAAAAATAAAATAAAAGCCAAATACGGTGGGTAAATAATTTACACACAAATTTATCGATACAGAGGCACCCAAATAAAATGGACAGATAAGCACCCACATAAAATCAGCTAGGCATTATATACTTAATTTGGAACCTTTAAAAAAATATATTAAATAACAGAGAATTTAGATCCAATTTTCACCACATCGACTACCAGAGCATATGAAAAAGGTAACATGCAGATAGCTTAATGATAAGACAAAAAAGCCCAAAAAGCTTAACGTCACTAATTTGTACATTTTGGCTAACAATCAAACCTGTCTAAATATAGCCAACGGTATGAAATAACCGTAGGTGGCTTGGTACAGACTGTCTGTGTAGAAATTATTGTACGTGAAAAGTTCAAAACAAAAACCTCTGAGAGCATATACATTTAATGATTACACGTGGAAAATTTATGATGTTCTTAGTAACAAGTTATAATTTTCTTTACCACTGCAGAATATACTGAGGAAAAGCAATTTTACTTCCTACAAGTGCTTTCCAAAAAAGGTTTTGTAAATTAAGGCAGAGGTTCAGACTGAAAGTTTGACATTTTTCTTGTCAGGTTAAGGCTGACCAGTATATCAAATTTTTATAGTATACAGGATGAAACAATACCGTTTATATTGATATACGTTTGTTGTGCACTAAAATTAGGGCTCTATTACAGATTATTATACTAGGTTGTAAATGATGTGACAGCTTTGGTCGTGACATCGGCCAGATTCCCAGAAATCACAGCTAAAATCAAACCATTCAGTTAGATGCTGTTGGACAGGGGCGGAGGGAAGGTGAGGAATTATTGTTACTCCGCTCATTTCGTTTTTAAACATTGCCAAACGGCTCACAGGTTAAAAATATCATAAATTGCAATATTTCTTTTGATTTGATTTTTTTCCCCCACCTTCTGTTTTTGAAAGCAATGTCATTAACTGAGACGTAGTGGAGTGAAATGCTTTTACATCATACGGCTTTATCTGCTCCATGCAACACAGATATAGGCATGATTTATTTTTGTCTTTATTTAGAGACTTCTGTTTGGAATAAAGAAAATGCCTTTCTGATTATCTGTATATTTGCAAACACTGAAGGAAGCTAAGGAAGCTGTGCATGTGGATGTGTGAATGGTGTGGATGTGTGAATGGTGTGGATGTGCGAATGGTGTGGATGTGCGAATGGTGTGGATGTGCGAATGGTGTGGATGTGCCCTGCCATAGATTGGCAGCCCATCCTAAGCTGATCCCTGCCTCAAGGATAGGCTCCTGACCCCCCACGACCCTGTATAGGATAAGCAGTTAAAGAAAATGGATGGATAGATGGATGAATGGAAGGAAACCCTATATCTACATTTCATTTTGATGACACTCTGTTATACTAAGCGTTTCTGACATCTCACATGTGGCTCTGACTTAAAACTGAACATTTAGCCCACTTCATAGAAAATACCAAGCTATACATCATCACTCGCTATTCTGCCGAAAAATACCAAGATATGATTTTTGGTCCACGTCATGCAGCCCTGTGTCAAGTTAAAAATAACACTGATGTTCTGTGCCAAAAGGACAGCTCTTCAATCCCCCGCAGATTTCACTCAACTCTAAATTCCCTCGGTGGGAGACAGTTAATTGTTGTTACAATAATGTCATGTTTTGCCAGACCGGCTACATGGGCACATTTGCACTAATTGCTTTTCTATTACCTCACTTGAGCAGAACAATGGGTCTCGTCATTCTTGTCTTCATCGTTCAAAAGCTTGCTCGCCTCCAATTTCAGTGGTCAGCCAGTTTCTTTTACTGATTCATTCAAATTATTGAGGTTAGCACAATCTGTAGTTGATTTCTACCATCACCAGTAATAAGTACGTTACATGTGTTGAGGTATCACTGAATATTATTCTATGTTTAAGATTATAAACACTATTTATTAGTTTTCTATTAAAAACTATTACAAAGTGAATGCAATAAGCTCTTATATGTCAGTTATGGCTCAATTCTGGATATAAGGTATAATGTAAAGCAAGTAGCAAAAATATTTAATCCACTAGCACTGCTGATGTTATTTCTGTAGTTCAATTCCTCCCTCATAGTTCTTTCCTTTTTTTGATAGGTCAGTGCAGGTAAATGCTTCAAACAGCATGAACACAGATTTTCCAGAACCTCCAGATAGCGCAGCTTCTGAAAAGCACACATTTTACAGTAACATCGTACTGTACCAACATCTAAGCAAACTGCCAGCCAATCAGCAGCAAGCAGGTGGCGGGGGGAAAAAAATGCAGTAATGTACACTAAAAGTACACCATGACTCAATGTACTGCACAATTGAAGGTTATTAAGAGATGGAGGTAGGAAGCCATTTCTCAGTTTGACAAGTTTTATCCACCCGTCAAAAAAGAAAAGCTTTGATTCAGACACAGAATGTGAATTTCCAGAGAGTTTGTTTTTCTGAATATACCAGTGGGGCAGCACAAAACCAGGCAATGGATGCCTCACATAAGGTACACGATCTGTAAGCAGCACCTACCCTAGAGGTGCTACACTCTGAACAGCCACCAACATCCTATCTGGGAAAAGCTGGGTGTGAACATCAGAGGCATCACATGTGTGAGGTATCATCTACGAGCTACACCTCGGCACTCACCTGAGATTTTGTCCTCCAGTTTGATGTAGGCCACTTTCCCTCTCGCAGTCACTCGCATGCGCCCAGTCCAATCAGGCGTGTCCAGCTTCCAGTCCGCTGCCCTGAGGCAACATAAGTGGTGTCAACAAAGCCGTGACAACATCACAAAGCGGCTCCTGTGCCTGAAAAAACATCCCACAGCAGCCCTACCTACCAATATATCTCAATTCATGTATCTTTCTATATATGTGCATACAACTATATGTCAAATGCAGTTTACAGACTAATTCTTCTGAATTTCAAAGGCTACTGGGTCTAAGTCATGGTTCTATCACCATTTAACATAAATATAATATAGGATCACCCAGTTAAGACACTGGGGATAAATATCATGTCACCTTTGCTGTTAGGGAAGGCAAATACTATGCAATAGCTGGAAATTAAAGGTCACAATCACCATGCTAGACCAAGAACTTAATAAGGAAGAGCTACAGGCCTAGCACTGGGCCGACTCATGTCAGACTCGAACCAAGTGAGCCTATATAATAAAATGTAAACAAGATATTCACAGGTACAAGGGCAGATGCATCTAACAACTATTGTATAGGCTAAACAGTGAGTAAAACACTAAGGATTTCACTAATAAGGTGATATAATAGATCATAAAATATTATATAATGGGATTGCAAGATGACCGCCCAAATATTTATTATCCGGGCCTTTTAAATACCGTAATACCCTAAAATAACCGCAACTTACATTAGTAAACGTTTGTATCAAAACAAGCAACCTATTTAGCAACCTATCTATTGCGTATTTGTATTGTATAAATAACCAGCAGTGAATTTTTCATGCTTTTATTTTTTTTCCCAATAAATATTACATTTTTATTGGGAAAGACCATTAGCGACACCGTACGTAGCATACTCGTTAGGTCGCAAACTCCCATTTGTACACCAGAAAGGACAGACTTAAATTAAATACCAGTCTTTGCAGTTAGAAAGTATATTAATCTGGCTGCCATCCCTGCGTAATCAAAGAATACGGCAATCGTTGTCGTATGGTCTGCTCCTTGACCTCCTGAATGGATCTACAGAAGGAGCAATCGTTATCTGCCGGCTTGCTTTCGCTCCCTATGATGCATCCTCACCTCCTGTGCATCTCCATCCCTAAACACGCCAAGAAAGGCGCATTACCAGAGAGATACAGGACGCAAGCATCACTGCTGCTATTGTCAATGAGTTACAATAGCTGTCAATATGAAAATCGTTCATACTAGGCGTAGAATTAAACAGGTAATACAAGAGAACTCGGAGGAACAGTTAGGCCGACCGAATAAGTTAATATTGAGATGAGGCTGCGTTACCTGTATCCGCGGTTCGATGCTCTCGGCGGAATGCGGTACACATTGACGTCGGGTTTCACGCACAGCACCGACTCGTACTCACCCTCGGTTGCCATCTTGATTTTAATTCAATCGGTGTTTGTGGCAGAATCCGAGAACGTTAACGGCTCCGGGGACGTAATGAACAGTATAAAGGCGCAACGATAAATCTGAGCAACATTATCGAGATCTGCTGCCCATGTGCAAATTATTAAGGGTAATATAGTAACAACAACAAATGTAAATTGACTTTATGCGGCATTTATTGAAAATTCACTATTTAATCACCAGTAATTGTTATTTTCCATACGAGATGTGGACCGTTCCAACTACTTGTAAAGAAAATGCCTGTAAGAGAATAGACACAAATAAAATTGCGTTTTTATTTTCTGGTTTATGGCACACTTCGCATGAGCTACATCAGCACCTGCAAGACTCTCTTGCCAGCTTTTTAGGATAGCACTGTCATGCATTTGTAGAAAAGCTGCAACCTCAAAATCTCTTTAGTGATTGTTTACCAGTCACGATAACAATGTTTAACAGATAGTAAGTCTCTCGCTTTAAATGGCAGGCAGTAGAAACAGAGTTTAACGGCACTGCATTAATGCTTTACAGTATTCGGTCTAAGTTCAAGTTCTGGATTCAAGTAGGAGCACCATTTCCATATTTTGAGAGCACCGAAAATGGAGATAGAGTTCTTTCTCAAAGTCCAAGGAGTGCAAACGCGTCTCTCAAGTCTTCGGTTTCGCAAGGCTGTGAAATAAAAAAGAAAGGGAAAATAAGTGCATTAAATAGTCACAGCTCCATTGAAAGCCAGTACTTTACAAGAATCACAACAGATGCTGTATAGTAGTTATATATAATGCACCTGATCTATCATGTACATATGTAGACATGGGTATATACAACATTTAACATCCAACAAATCAAGTTAACAATTACTATTTGAAAGCTGGATTATTGTTATTTATTATGATTCCAATGCCCTATGCCTTGTGTGTTCTGGGTTAGGTTCCAGGTTCCCTGTATTGCATAAGAGGTTGGAAGATGGATGGATTCTTATCACCTGTAGGATGCGGGTCAGTTTTCTTGCCAGTCGAACAGAGTTTTGATGCAGTCCATCCCAAGCTTTGAATCCACGTTCTTTGCGAGCTACAAATGTCTGCCAGCAGTAGAAATAGTCTGTAGTAGAGAAAGATCTCAGTTTAGAGGAGCGATTGTGAGCCACAAATCTAGTAATTGCACAGCGAAAACAGTGAGTATGTTATGCAATTAACTTCATCTGATGAGCACCTTTAGATGTCTTCTTAGTGAAAATGTAACCTTGGGGCTCCCCTGCCAAATTTAACATATAATTTTACATATTCAACGGCCCCTGTCAAGTGCTGCCCCCCCTGAATCTGTCATGGTATCTATGCCCCTTTGACGCCCCTGATGAGAGGGATTTATCCATCATTTCTTTCCTTACCTTTGTAGCTCATAATGGACAGCTGCACCCCGGTTCTCTTTAGGGTCCTCAATCCTTCTCTCTCATCACTGTCTTCATTGTCGCAGAAGTACAGACGCGAGCAGAAGATGCGCAGCTTGAGGTTGGGGGTTTGCCTCAGGAAGCGCGCCAAGCGGCAGGAGCAATCATAGCAGGGGGACCAGGAACAGAACCAGGTCACAGAGTAAGAGAGCTTTGCTCCTCCTGGACCTGAGCCCCAGAGGCCTGGACACAGCGCCCCCAAGTGTCGAAGGAAGAGAAGCTGCAGAGGTGAAGGAAGAATAATGAGAAGTGAAATGAGTGCTCAGTGGGTGTCTTCACTTACTGCTCAATATCAAAACATAGACTTCAAGTACAGGCATGGATTTTCAACAGTGTTCAGCAACTAGTGTAAAAAAAACAGTCCATTTCATTGGGGCAGCTGTCAGATACTTTTTAAAGGCTACATTGACTTTAAAGATAGGGAGACAATCTTTGGGCTATATTTGAGTCTTGATCATGAAAATATCAGATTACTGAAGAAATATTGCTATGGCATGTTATAGTCTTAGTCTGGCATGGGGCTCAGTGGTGAGCAGCATGACTTACCTCCAGGCCTGGGGATGTGATTCTCACCTTGGCGGTGTGTGTGTGTGTGTGTCTCTGTGTGTATGGATTATGTTTATATTACATTGTGGGGACCAAAAGTTCCCCACAATGTAATAAAAACCTGTTATTTTGACGTTTTGGGGACCATTTTTCAGGTCCCCAAAAAGATCTGTGAATGTGATCAAAAAAGCAAAAATACCTAAAGTCTCGTATTTTGTTTGGTTACTTATGGTTAAGGTTAGGACTGGGCAGGGGTTAACGTTGTCATGTTGGGATTAAAGTTTTCCCCATAGAAATGAATGAACAGTCCCCACAAAGATATAATTACAAACGTGTGTGTGTGGAGTCTGCATATTCTCCTTGTGGGATGTGAGTGTCCTTCAGTACAAAGACATGTGTTTAATCTAATTAGCATATCTAAATTGCTCTTGGTGTGTAATTGTTTGGTTTTATATGTGTGCTTTGTGATGGACTGGGTGAAGCCCTGTTTTGTTCTCTTTTCTGCCCTGTGACCCTGATCAGCATAAATGGTTAGAGGATGGATGCTATTCTTTTATTAAGTATTGTATAAAATGTTGGGGCAAAGGTCAATGATAGTCCAATTACTCAAAGATGATCATGCAACCCAAATATTCAACTAGTGCGACTCTCCAAAGAGATCTTGGGCTTCTATCAGATCTTACTCCCACATGCAGCTGGGTCTGTTGATGTCCAATCTCTAGTCTGTTTATTCTCGCCCACCCACCTCCACGTGACATCCAGAGCGATTGCGTAGATGTCCAAAATCAAAAGAGAGAGTATCTGGACCATCCCTCCTCTTCACTACAAAACATAGATAGGTCTCGTGTCTCCCTCTTGCCCAGCGCATGTTCTTGTAGTGATAAATAAACTTCTTTTGCGTCAGAAGCACACTGCAGCAAACGGAAGTAAAAGTCACTCTACTGTTGCATTAATATATTTGTACAAGCCAGTGAATGAAAAAAGAAAACAATACTGAAATAATGAATAAGCTTGCATGAAATCAGAATTGGGCAATATATCCATAATAGCTCAGTTCTGAGATGCCAAGGAGATTTTCTGACATTTTGCTAATAATGGGCTGGATTATTAATAATTACACTGAGTTTGTTCCAGTTGCATCAGCTTACATTTATGATTAGCCTGCTTATGAAGACTCTTTTGGTATCTGAAACAACTGCAGCAAATCACCTGTTACTCATTCACAGCCCTCCAGCCCTCTTTCTCAGTTTCACTCCATTTTTGCAACTGAAACTAGAGAAAGTGCCCTGACGGGCAAAACAGCTAGTATTTGCAGCCAGAGCTGAGCACAGGGGTTAATATGATGAGTAATGCCCTTCGAAAGAAATGCAGGCTACACGAAAATAGAAAGTGAGCTAAGTAAGACAGAGGTTTGGAGAAAGATGGGAAGACAAAAGTATAGTATCAGATTTGCTCACCTGTCCAGTTTAGTGATCATTTCACACGATAGGACTTCCCCGCTCAATCAATCAAGCAAGAACTGAACACATGAGCAGGGGAGACAGACAGATTGAAATTCAGATATGGGGTGGAGGGGTTCCTGGTTGGGCAGAGAGATATTCAAAAAGAGGGGAGGCGTGATCAATTTGAGTGGAAGGCGCTTAGACGAAAGACAGACCGAGCGACAAAATACACAATTTGTCATTGCAAATTATCCTTCACGGCATTACAAGATATTTAGTGGTTAAAGAACATGGTTGCATCACTGATTTACATATATTTGAAATTATTTATATTTGTGTTTTTGGAAGAATAGGGGTGCATGTTTGCACAGATGCATGTGAAGCCTTTGCATTAATTGCAGTCATTAAAGGCTTATATCCCAAATATACAGTATATAGCAATAAAACTGGTCAAGTGCATCATTTGATGTAAATTATTACCAACTCTTTTCCAGTATTTAAGACATGAGTATCATTAAATGTTACGTTGCAAAAGAATATTGCACAGTTGAATTAAACCATTGCTTAAATGGTTTGGTTTTGTCACTATTTAAAAAAGCTTCCAGATGCTTCTTTGTGATGTTGGCTGTTTTTTTTTTTTTTTTATTCATCCTCAGGTTCCCCACCATTCATAATAAGGGAATCAGCTATCGGTCTCATTTCCAGTCTCCAGTGCATATCCCACAGTAAGATGCATGTAAGTTGCCTCAGTCAATTTGCATTGTTTGTTTATTTTTTATCTATACTAATCTGCTTTTAGTGAGGCTCTCCTATGCAATTTGCGGTTTGGGAATTTATGGTTCAACTGGATCTGTTTTTCAGGGAACGCCTATGTGTGCCTTAAAGCCGATTGACACATGTGGAATAGATTTTTCCGTTCCTCGATGTACCCAAGTACTGCCCTCTGGCATGTGCTCCGCAAGTGACCTCTATGACCCTTCTGTGCTTAAGCACATGGGGAGGAATCTCCAAATGTTTCTGTATGGGATGCGGGACAAGCTGATGTCTGTGCTTGAAACCGTGAGGCTCTACACTGTTAAAAATGTGTGTTGGAGAGCATTACAGGGCATTTAATCTGACGATGAGAAACGGGAGATCAAAGCAGGAAATGCAGAGTCATTTTTTCCTAAACCCACCCACACTCACATGCACGCACACACAAACAGAGAGAGAGAGAAAAAAACAAAACCACAGTCACAAAAACACACTTTCCAGCACCATTAACTCGCATCTGTTTCCTGAAAGCAAATATAGTTATACACAATTTGTTTTTACAGCCAGGTGCTTTCTGAAGCTGACCGACAGCAGCTACAGAATAGGCAAAAAAAGTATAGAATATTGTATATGTAGTATATAGAGAGAAGGCCTATTATTACAACTACAGTTCAATTCTGTTTAAACTGTCAATTAAAACTTGAAGAACTGAAATTGAAACTGAGCTTGTGTTTCAATGTTTAGTGGCACTTATTCACAGCATTTTTACCAAACCACCTTCAGGTGTTCTACCTTTACCCAATGACCAGAAGCTTCTCCCTCCTGTGCTGCTGTCTTTCCTGTTTTCACTGTACAAATATCCGGCACTGCGTATGAGGTTAGCAGGCAGAACCGTCTGAGGTTTACAGGGTGCACGGGCCCCGGTCTGACCGAAGCAGGTACACGAGCTAAGGTGAAAGCGGCACCAAGCAAAAAGTCACTCCGCCCACACACAAACGGTCACAGACCACGCTTACACATCTGTGTCGCTCACCACAGGCCTGAAATCAGCCATTCATGCAGGGGAGGCAAAAGCGACAGAAAAAGCTGCACAAAATGCTAACTGGAAAATATAGGCGGGGAGTGGTAAGGAGTGAAAAAGAGAAGATTACAGCACGTTTGCAGACTCACAGCTTTCAAAACCACAGACGTCCTCAGACAAGGGGCCAGGTGTTTGGGGAGGGGGGAGGACCCAGCCGAGATAGAGACCTACGCAGACTCACAGTAACCGCACGCTTCCTCAAACATACACGGCAGGGTGCTTATACACCTCACAGTATACTTTTACAATATGTACAAAAATATACCCATTTCTTCAGCTATTGCTCAGATTACACTGAACACACGAGTGCTAACTTGGTACAACAGTGCGACAAAAATTAACATGCATTTCAGAAAAGTCTAAGTAAAAAATTTTGTGCATCTACGTCAAACAAATGTGCTTGCAAGAACTGCACCAGAAAAGTCACAACGAGACAAGGGCTCAGGCACAGGGCAGGAAATAACATTTATTGGGGACCGGGTTCCCGTCTTTGGGGGTTAGGGCTGGTAGAACACAGGCCAAACAGAAAACATAAAAAGCAGCTTCAATGAGGAAGAATAATTATGGGCAATAACAGGAAGAAAATGCTAAGAGGATACAGACAGCTGTCCGCCTGTAGTTGGGTGCACACCAATCAATACCACTGGATGTCAAGAGGGACATGAAAATACATCAACATAAAGAAGCCAGGTAGGCTGGTTCCCCTTCCTGATGCACAGGTTTTGAACTCTCATAATCTTTCTGTGAGCTTCTGGCACGTAGCAGGAGGCTTGATTCATCATGGTAACTACTTTCTCACTTCTGTCACTGTGATCCAAAATGGGTCTATGAAACTTCACGAGCTTCAACCTGCATGCTCAGTGTCTCACGTGTCTTTAAGCCGAAACTTGGTTGGCAGTTTCCACGTTCAACACTCAGACAGTGACGAACGCAAGCTTTGAATGCTCCTATTTTTAAACTCCTCTTATAGTGGTTGCAACTGAAGCCACATTCAGAGCAGATTGGAAAAACAGGGGCTGTTAATCTACAGCCATGGGAGTGCAGTTATACTTAAACCATTAGCTTACAAGGGTTTCAATTAAACTGTCACAAGCAACTTAAAAAATAAACAGAAAAAAAAAAATGAAAATACAGCAATACAGTTATGAACACCATATGACGGCAGGACAATGAGTCCTTCATCCCCGGAAATGCAGAAGGTGAAGCTCACAGCTAATATCACATCATAATATCACAGCCTCAAAAGCAATAAATAAAACCATTAAAATAATTAAGATGAAAGTACTTAAGACCTTTATGTCTTCCCTAATCTCTTTGCAGTTCAATCAGACCTTGTTTTCATCTTTTCAGTAGTCTTTAAGATAGCCAGCTAAAGATGAAAGCCTCCCAGCTTCCATATCCCTTTATCCCTCTTTATGTTTTGTATTTCCACCTCACTCCTTTCCGAACAAGTCCTTTACAAACACACGATTCACCGGAAAGCCCATCCAGCTCCTCTCCTCCACTATTTCCCCTAATTTATCTCCTTCCAGCTCTCCCTCGGTCAGATCCTCCTTCCTGCAATAACCAAGCTTCTGAAAAAACGCCATTGCGACCTTTGAGGCGATGGGCACATGCGCACACACCCTATTCCGGCCCAGAGCCTTCTCCTGCCTTTCCACGCTCTCTACCAGAAGCCGGCCCAGTCCCTCTTTACGGTACCAGCATTGAACCACCAGTCGGCAGATCCTACAGATGTCCTCGCTCAGTCCCCCCTCAAGGGCAATGCAGCCGATGATCTCGCCATCCAAGACTGCCAGCCACACCTCCCCCGCCTCCCGCTCCCTCGCATCCATCTCCCTGGATTTCCCTTTCTGACATCTCCCTTTGTCCTGAGCCTTGGTGCTGGTGCCCACGTTCCCCTCCTTCCGCTGGACATAGGGGTTCTCCATTGTGCAGTCCCCCGGCCCTCTGTAGCTGCTTCCAATGTAGTCCCAGTAGGGCTTGCTGGTGCCCAGGATGCCGAGTGTGCGTGGGATAGTGAGCTTCAGGTAGATGATGACCGCAAAGACTGGTAGCACCAGAGCCAGAATGAAACTATGCAGGAGGCAGCGCAAGACGGACGACGCAATAGCGAGGAGCAGGAGGGCCAGCGGACGGGTTAGGAGGTACAGGATCAGCCGATTCTCCGAGCCCTGCGATCCTTCCTGGGAAGCAGCAGGAATGAGATTTATAAAACACAAAAGCTGTCACAATTATCAATACCTGAGATCTGGAAAATTTAATTGAGGCAAGGCCTTCAGAGACAGGGCTTCAAATCCCGCACGTGTCCTAGTTTAGTGATTATAGAAGATGGATGTATAATTGAGGCGAGCGTGTGAAATACACTTATATGAAGTATTGTACTACCCATAAGCACGTCCTTTATCAAATATGTCACAAGGATCAAGCAAGGGCATAAACAGGAAGAAAACAAGGACAAAAACATGATGAAAGTGCCATCTAGTGTATGAATGAGGAGACCACCTTGATGAGCTCTTTAACTATGTTTATATCTTCTTCCTTCATCCTTCGAAGCGCAACCTGGCTCAGCTCCAGCTTCCCCATCTCCTGCACTCAGAGAGAGCTTTTTGATGGCGTTGAAAAGAATAAAATTGAGAGGTCAAACAGAAATAAAATTGTATCCTAACCGCAGAGAGGTCATTTCACACATTTCCGAAAATCGCTTATTCCTATACCTTTTTATGAAATGGTTACTATGAGGAATCGCATTTCCATCCAATTGCAATAGATTACAATATAGTAACTGAGAAAATGTTTAAACATTAAGCATGTATTTAAAATGAGCTCGTTACGCAGCTCAATTCTGACCTCTATTTCTGACTCCTTGACTTTACGTGGGAAATCATGAGTAATGCTACCCGCTTATTAAAACCACTAGCAATGCAATGGAGCTACCATTCAATAATTAAGTGCACATACAGCTGTCTATTAACTATATAGACGATATCACAGAGACGGGGTTAGGGACCATGTGGGGATTAGCTTACACAGCAGCATCGCATATTTTTATGTTTTTACGGATTTCCGAGAAAGGTCGTTCATAATAAACTGGAAATAACTACGAAAATAAAAACAAACAATATGCCTCGTAGTCGGAAGCCCCCATACCTTTCATCCAGTTTAATCGGAATGGGGAATCAAAACTGCCTGTTGCTAAACGCAACGTTGGTCGGCTCTTTGGGCCACTAAGACCGAGGCGACGTTTCAAGTTCTACGGCACGAACCCGCGACATGCGTAGCCGTCCTGTTCCATAAGAGCGATTATACGCTGACGTATTTGCGTTAGAGAATACGGCGTAGCCAATCTTTCTCGAAGATAGCGGTAGCGTAACGAACGCAGTACGTGAATTCCGACCCTGCGTACTTTGCAGCATATTGGTCAAATAACTTCGCTGTTGTAAATATGACGTTAGTGACTTAACCGTTAAAATATTCAAGCGTTAGAGCATTGCTGCAGCATAATTAGGTACAAAAAATAAGTTAAACACTGAATCGTTATGTATAACTTCGTTTATTTTCATGACCATATCTATATCAGTATCAATGATACTTAATCCAAGCAAAATATAGACAGTATCATATTCACAAAACGTACTGTTCTCTTAATACACACTCAAATTTGTATTTTTATTTGCTCCAGTCTGCAGTCATTTGAGTGTTATCCATCTTCACCTTTTATTAACCACATGATTTACAGCTTTTTTGCACGAACATTGTTCATGCTTTTTTCTTCTGTGGAGCAATTATTTGATCCTATTTCATTAATAATTTATTTTTTTGCTTTCTATCTGAAGCAATATTAGTCCATGGTTTTGCTCCGAGTTAACATCATTAAATTCTTCATAAGCGTCCAAATGCCTTAGGGAAATACACAAGCACACACCCTCATACACAGACACACAAACACACTCGCTACTTTGCATTGTGTGAGAACTTCCTTTAGGAGGTGTTAGAAGTAGAAGTAACAGGACCAGCAGTAGAACTGAAAGCTTGAGTGTCACTCTGGACGACATGCTGCATGCTCTCTTTCATTCCACTGCTCTCATCAATCCCTGCCTGTAACTTCACATCGGAGCCTATGTCTTCCTCCATAGCCATCCCTGTACCTCTATCTCCGTCATCTTCACATGCCTCTGTCTTTTCCAGGATACCACTCTCTCCTTCCATGGCTGCTTCTCTTAAGCTGCTGGTGCTGACTTCAATGATAACGATTTCCTCTCCCCCCTCCAACTGAAATATGCCCTCCATAGACCCCTCACCTTCACTAACTGCCCTGCCAGTCCTATTATAAGTGCCCCCTGTGTCTGAGGTATTTCCTTCACCTTCTATTAATGCAATCATCTGAACCCTTTCCCCAGGTCCTGGGGGTACCATCTTCGCATCATTCCCAAGCTCAAATACCACCTCCTGCTGGCCACATGGAACCAAAGCTTGGGCAGGGTGGCAGTCAAGACCCAGGTCATCTCTCTGAGCTGCCGAGAAAGTGTTTGGAGGATCCTCTTCCCCTCTCTCTCCCTCTGTTTGAAAGTGAAGAACAAATGATTCCCCTCCTCCATCACCCTCTCTTGACATGCCTGACTCCTGTTCTCCTTTATCAACTCCTTCCCAATTTTGCAGTAGATCCAATGAGACCACCTGTTCTGTGACCTTTCTGTCCTGTGTCTCCCCCTTTCCTTGCGTCTGTATCTCCAGGACGAAAGATCCCTCCTTTCCCACTTGCCTTCCATCCCCAAGTCCATCTCCCCCAAACTGTAGCACATAGGACTCCTCTCCTCCACCCTCAGCCTGTAACCTCTCCTTCTCCCCAGCTTCCTCTCCCTGCTTCTGAAAGCAGAGGACAAACTGCTCCCCACCAACTGCATCTGAGCATTTCCTATCTGGAGCTGTAATTGTAGGGTTACCACCCCATGTGCTGGACACAGATGGAACAGCCGCATCGGACATGCTAATGTTTTTGGAGTCTGTCATGGCTACCGAGGGGGCTGAAAGAGAGGAGGACACAGATGAAACTGTAATTGGAGGGGTGGGAGTGGACAGGGTAGTGCTTGCAGTTATGGTGGTTGAACTTGCACCAGCAGCACTGTTAGAAAGAGTCTCCAGCAGGTTAGATGGAGCTCCTCCCGAAGGTTTGGCAGCTTTTTGCTGCAGGACAGCTTTGGATCTCCGCGGTCGTTTTGGTCGAGGGCTTCTCATCCAGCTGGTTTTTCTCAAATTCTGTGAGTTTGGCGCTGCATTCCTGACCACAGCTGATGTGACAGGAGCATTTGTGTTAGTCAGGATGAACCTCGGTTGAGTCTGTATTGTCTGAAATGGAGGGATCTGCATTTGGTTAGTGCCCAGGACTTGCTGTAGTGCAGGTACAGTTTGCACCACAGAGAGGGGCTGTGGGCTTGGAGTAGGGGGAGCAACAGTAGCGGCACTGGAAGTTGGAACAAGGATCAAGCTTGGCTGGTTACCATTAGTGGACTGGCACTGTAACAGAAGGTAGTTTTGAGACTGAGGTGGAGGTGGTGGAGGTGGAGCTGGTGTTGGGGCAGATAGAGGTATTAGTTGTAGGCCTGTTGGAGTCTGAATCATAAAATAGTTCTGCGATGTATTAGGAGGGATGTCTAAATTTGGTGGGGACAAAATCAAGGTTGACTTAGCTGGGGCTTCAGGAAAGGATATTGCGTTGGCCCCCATGTTCGTGTTCACACTGAGGTTCAGAGTCGAGGACCCCTTGGATGCCCTGGAGCCGTCCTTGGTGCTGCCCGAGCCTCCTGTGTGCGTCCGCAGGTGTCGTTGCAGATAAGAATGCATGACAAACTCCTTCCCACAGAGCTGGCACTTGAAGTCCTTGCGTGCAGAGTGTGTGCGCAGATGCAGCTGCAGGTTAGAGGAGTGCGTGAAGCTCTTGTGGCATTGGCCGCACTGGAAGGGCCGTTCACCCGAGTGTGTGCGCTCATGCTGCTTCAGGTTGGATGTCTGAGAGAAGGACTTGCTGCAGACAGAGCAGATGTGGGGCCGCACACCTGAGTGCAGCTGGCTGTGTCTGCGCAAGCAGCTGGTGTTCTTGAAGGACTTGCCGCACTCCTGGCACACATAGGGTCGCTCGCCTGTATGCTGCCGCAGATGGTACTGGTAGTGCGAACTCCACTTGAAGGTAAGCGGGCAGTAGGGGCACTGGAAGGCACGCACACCAGTATGGACCTGAGGAATAAGAGAGCATGAATACCAGCTGAATCTATTTCTCACTTAAGCATTTTAAAGCTGTCATCTATCTTTGAACCACTCATGCTCTGCGGGGTTGTTTGGAAGGCCTGGTGCATTCTCCAGGCAACACAGAGATGACAACTTGACTACCTACATGTCTTTGGACTATAGGAGATCAGAGTATTCAAAGGAAACCCAATCAAAATGGTGGAACATGCACCCCCCCCCCCCCCCCCCCCCCCCCCCCACACACACACACACACACACACACACACACACACACACA